GCCCCCAGCACCTGCTGCTGCTGGCCACAGGGCCCAGGTTTCTTGCAGCAGGCACTGGGCAGACTCTGAGCAGCCCAGGCTTCATGGCAGGCAGCAGCTGCCCAGAGCCCAGGCTGGATGTGACAGGTAGCCAGGAGGCTGCAACCAGTGTCCTGGGGTCTGGAGTCCTGACCTGGCTCTTTGGCCAGCAGCAGCTGCATGTGTGCCTTGGGGTGTACAGCAGGGAAGGGGCCTAGGGCAGTGCAACCCTGGCTCCTTTCCTGCCTTGAGCCCCAAGGTGTGTGTGCAGCCACTGCTGCCATGGCGCTGGGCTGGGACTCTGGACCCTAGTGCAGCTGTTTGTAGCCTGGCTGCTGCCTACTGCAAGCCATCCAGACTTGGTGGGTGGCAAGGGCCTGTCCAGAGCCCAGATTGCCTACAGCAGACAGCTGCAAGATTTGTTGCTGGTAGCAGCTGCATGTGTGCCTTGGGGAGCACAGCAGGGAAGAGGCCAGGGCTATGCTACCACAAGCATCAGGCCCTCATGGCTCCCTTGCTGTCCATCTCTAGCACGCCAACATCTTCCAAGTCCAGGTTGCCAGGTTTTTTTGGCACCTGACCCAAAAAACATTGCCAATCCCTGAGCTAAAGCGTGCATGCAGCACTCTTCTTGTTGGACATCTCTTGCACCCTGGTTTAAATTATTTCCCTTGTACTTTTTATTATATTTTCTTTTGGGCTTGTCATTTCACCACTTTGAAGAAGTCACTTTGATCCATGTACTTAAAATACATGGTAGTCTAAGGCTGTATATAAGCTTAAAAAAATGTGGTTGAAGTTAACTGCCCATACCTCACTTGCTAGTGCAGATATGTGCATCTGAGAGAGGTGTCTAAAATTCAGGGTTGAATTTGATTACTTATTTATAACCCTAAATCAATGCAAAAGTTAGAATTAAAGAAAAGTATAAAGATTGAGCTTTGAATATGGCACGTACAATGGAAGCCTTTCTGATACTCAGAAATAAAAAGAAAAAACTGAAGAATGCAAAGGGGAAATAATGTGAGTATATAGCAGCAGCAAAAAGAGGAGATCACTGGAGACATTTTATCACACAATTGTAAAGACAGACACTACCAGTTGGAATATTCATGAAACTTAGAAATCTGCCTTTCTTTTTGTTGTGGAAAAGTACCTTCAAAATAACAATTCTGAATGTTTTCAGCTCATCTTGGCAAACAATGCTGATATTGACCGTTTTGGAAACTTGATTTTTCAGATATTTCATTATAACTTAAGATGTTCTAAGTATGTGCTTTTAGCTTTGAATGTCTCACTTAAATTTGAGTAGTTGGTGAATTTCTAATGCTGAAGGAAAACAGAGAGGTAATTTAAGGGCTTGTGCATCTGGGAAGTTAGTGTACAGTAAGTTAGGTTGTAAATTTACAGTGCATTGGCTATTCCACCCACAAGCTTACTGTGACTGAGTTTTCCATGTAGACTAGCCATAAGTGGGAATACTAATTGTCTATAGTTAAAGGGGCTAAGTTCATTCAAGAAGAAAAAATGAAATTCACATAGGACTGTAAATTTTGAGTTCCCCAGCACAGCTTCTGATTTCTGTTTTCATCCTAATGACATCGGTTTTAATAAATATTTTTTCTATCAGATATATGTTGCCTTATCTGTGGAGTTTACGTTATTAATTGCTCTTGAAAGCAATATTAATTGCTCTTAATTTCACAGTTTAATGAAGGTGCAGAAAAGTGTGACACATGAAGGTTCTTTACTTCACTTAAAAGGGGAGGAAAAACCTTTAGAGTGTCACTTCCCTATTCTTGCTTTTGTCATAAATTAAGGAACTGACATGACAGTTTTGCAAGTATTGCAGATACTTGCAAGGTAGGTTCAACTTTAAAATGATATGGATAAAAACTTAAAACATGTTTAACAGAAGATTGCTCATAGCTTACTTCTCCCTTTTTTGTCTCGTAGGTCTTCTAACATTTATAAATTGTGCCTATGTTAAATGGGGAACAAGGGTGCAGGATGTATTCACCTATGCCAAAGTCATTGCCCTTATTGTCATCATCATAACAGGAATTGTTAAACTATGCCAGGGTAAGCTTGCAAAATTAAAATCAAGGTTGGTAATATTAATCAATAAGACTGGGGAATAATTAGTTGGGTTTCCTTTGCATTTTTTCTGAACTATACCCCATCAAATAAATGAGAGCTTCATAAATTTGAAGTAGAGATTTATTCAATTGGATAATCAGTTGTCCTTAAGATTCTGTAAACATTTTTAAAGGACTGTCTTCCAAGAAATAAAATCTTAGTTTTGATACACAGGTTAAGTGGTTCAAAATTCAGGGTACACAGTATGACTGTACTGTTTTACTTGTATACATTTGCTGGAAGTTCTGGAAGGGTACTGTCAAGGGTGTTAGAACTTACAGTTTTGTTTTGGAATAAAAGTATGTATTTCACTGTACCTGATTTCTGTTTGTGCTGTTGTGAGCAGACTAAGTTTTTAACTGTAGAAGAATATCACTTCTGCTTCCACATGGTAACAGTTGTCTATAAGAATAGAAAGGTGGTTCAACAGTCTCTAGAGATACTGAGACTCTGTTTTTTGGTTCAGTTGGCAACTTTGTACATCATCCTAAAACACTCTTTATTAGCTGTGTCTTACCGTAATGTATGCATTTTCTTCAATCCATACACAGGACGTTCAGAACACTTTCAAAAAGCATTTGAAGGATCTTCTTGGGACCTCGGAGACATTTCTCTTGCCCTATACTCTGCCCTGTTCTCTTATTCGGGTTGGGATACACTTAATTTTGTAACGGAAGAAATCAAAAACTCAGAAAGGTAACTAAGTTAAACTTGTAACAGTTTTTCAGTCATTCACTCAGTGGCTGTCTTTCAGTGAAGGTTTTTTGAATTGACTAGAAATTTGATTGTATATGGTAAAGCTACTCTGTGTTGACATAACTCTAGCACTATATGGAAACTACAGTCAGGGATTATAAAGCTAAAAGGTCGTGAAAGTTAAAACATTTTAAAAATGAGAATGTTCTAATGGCTGCTGAATACTGTGTACAATATTTTACTTGGCATTCAGGGCAGATTCTTGTATATCGTGTATAGTACTGTTCCCGGTATGAGGCAGAGGGTGAGATGATCTTTATATCTGCAATTTCTCCAATTATTTCAATCTTTCAATATAATCCATGCCCAAATACGCAAATGTGTCACTGACAAAATTCCTTTAGTTCACAGGTTTGAACTTATTAATAAAAAACATTCAATTTAAAAATTGCATCTCTCTTCTGAAGGTTTTTATTACTATTAACAGCCAAGATTGCTATAACTGAAAAGGTAAGAAAGAGGTTTCTTTTTCTCCCCAGTTGACCTGCTTTATGCATTGTAAATTAGTTTGCTCTGTTGCTTGTGACCTTTTTTCACAGAATGAGGACAACTGAAGTGGTTTTAAAGTGACATTAGACAAAAGAATTGGGTGAGGAAGTAATTGTTATAACTTAAGATAATTTATAGCTTTAAACAGACTAGATTTCAGATTGAGAGTCTTTATAAACTGCCAGTGGGTGTCATACTCCTACTTAGAAGAGACACGGTACTCTGTGCTTTCCTTAGTTATCAGACGCTTTTAATTTTTTTTTCTGCTATTGGTCTCTTATAACTGCTATAACAGTCTTTTCACCGTCTTTGAAGATGATCTATTCTCTGATGTTAGTTATGTAACTTTTATACTGGATCTATTTAAAGTGAGTTGTCTGCTGGGCATATTTAAACCAATGGAAGCACTTTGTACATCTGTGTTCCTATATAAACTCACGTTTCTAACACATGAGACTTTATTCCTAACTTTTAAAGTCTCCTTCAATTTCTAGTCACTCACATCACAAAAACATTTATAAGAAATCATATGTGTTTATGACTCTTGAAAATTCTACCAAAGATGATGACATTTTTCCATAATTATTTTACCATTTTACTCATCCAGTCAGTTAAAACTCCACAAAGTAAATTTGAAAAGATCCCTTGGCTTTATTTTGAGGGGAGACTACAGGCCTTAAACTGCCATACCAACTCCCTTTTTTATGACATGATATTTCTGAATTAATTTCTAAGTAGAGATGCACCTGTAGAGATTTTTTGGGCTGATACCGATGTCTGATTTTTAACGAGCCATATGGGCTGATACCAGTCCAATTGCCGATAAGCAGCCAAGCAGTTTGGAGAGCAGCATCTGGCTGGTAAGTCTGTTGTGGGGGGGGGCAGATGGAGGCCCCCTTGGTGAGGGAGAGAGTGGGGCTGGGGCAGGTGCTGCACAGCCAGGGCAGAGTGTGGGATGGAGCCACGAGCAGCTTGTTCAGGCTGGCTGGGGGAGGAGGGGCTCCTGCTGCTACACATACCCTGGGAGGGTGTGGGGGCCATGTGCCCCTGGATCTGCACATGGGGTGAGGGCAGGCTGCTGCTGTGGGCTGGGGCTAGGGCAGTGCTGAGCTCTTCCTGGTGCTGGGCTGGGCTGGGCTGCATTCAGGGTGGTGGGTGGGGTGCTGCGGTGGGGGGAGGAGAGCTGCAGCCATTCCATAATTCCTCATAGCTCCCCCGTCCCAGTTCTGCTGCCGCCTGCCCCGAGTGCAACCCCGGCCCAACCCCTCCACTGGGAAGAGCTTGGCACCTCTCCAGCCTGCAGCGGCATCCCACCCTTGCCCTGCATGCAGATCCAGGGGCACATGCCCGCCATGCTCTCCCAGGGTGCGTGCAGTGGCAGGAGCCTCAATCTGTTCCATCCCACCCCAATGCCCCTTCCCTCACAACAGACTTACCAGCTGGACCCAGCTGCTCTCTGTGCTGCCGGCTGTGCTTTTGGCTGCCTGTGTGCTGCACTGTGGCTGTGTGCAACAACAACATTATCAACAACATTATCAGCCAAAAAAAAGCCAATTGCCTTATATTGGTGCCGATTTGATATGGGACCAATGTATCAGTGCACCTTTGCTTCTAAGTGCTTGACTGCACTTCTTTGTGCTAAGGTCTGCAGATTTATTACAACAGGTGCTTCAGCCTGCCTGCAAGTTGGGCATGGTCCAGAACCATCAGTCAGTGACAGTAGGGGAAAAAATGTCCCCACTTCCTTGAAGTTATCCAGGTGTTCTTCTGGATCTCCAGAAGCATGCAGGTTAGCTCATACCATCTGTCTGGGGAGTTTTTTAGATTAGATTTCTAAATCCTATTTCAAATGTTTGGACTAAGAGTTTGTTTGAATTTGCACATCTAAGTACATCTATGTATAACAGCTGCATTTGATTTGGAAGGGCAGGGGAAGTTCCCTCAGCTCTTCTTTTTTTTTCTGAGGTATTTGCAGTGTCCTTACAGACTTCAGGGCAACAGATGGGTAATTAAAAACCTAGGACCGATCTTTCTTCTACTGTCATTTAGGAAGTATCTTACTGTAGAACTCTGGCTGTGTTGTCGGAATGCATTTTCTGCACAGCTCAGTATGCGTGGGGTTGCTTTGTCCCTCCGCTTCCCTGCGCAGGAAAGGAGCCAACAAAATTGGATAGGCTAGCTGTTCTAAGATGCAACCCAGGTAGGTGGAATTGCTGCAAGTCCTTTTAGAAAGCAGGCAAGATTTTAGAAGACTTCGAAAGAAAGTGATACTAAGAGAACAGCATACCAAATGGAAGGTCAAGTTTTAGTCTCTAGCAGCTATGCCCATACCAGTTGTGCCTAGTCATTTCCTCCTCTTCCCCAGAAAAAAAAAAAACAATGTGGGAGGATTGGGGGCAGACAACACCAGCCTTTTTGGGGACAGGGAGATCTGCAACAACTTGAAATATTTAAAGGCAATCTCTGAGCTCAGTTCCCCTCCCCTCAATGAAACAGGATTATTGGGAAAAAACTTTTAAAGTGGAGACAAACTGGTGCCATTCCCCTGCCTTCCTTTGCAGAGTGCAGCATGGAGGGTAATCCTCAGCATCTGGTTTCCCTTCTCAGCTTCGGAGTGCAGTAGAGTAGATCAATATAGAAAACATAGGCTATTGACATTGTTGATTCCAGTAGGAGTATGTACACCCTCCTAAGGCAAGGAAGACCAGCAATCTGAGGCAGAATTAGAAAATCAAATAGTAAAATACAGTTTGGGGAGAGCAGGGTGGTAGGGGGGAATACTACAAAATTATCTAACTAGAAAACACAACCATCAAGGAAGAGTTGTGTGGAAAACTTAAAACTACAACTTACTGAGACAAGTCATAACACTATATTCCTCCTTATGGTCACTGGGAAACTGAAATAGAAGATTATGAAATTTCTGTCCCACCTAAAAGATTGGGAAGACATCAAGTTTTCATCCCCACCTCCTGCTGTAATTTATTATGACTAAATTATTAAGCTGTCATTTGCAGCTTTGGCTGTGGGCCATTACAGTTGCATCCTGATCATTTGTAGCTGGGTGATTCTCAATTAACTTTGTTTGCTGTGGACAGCTAGATTAAGGGGGAGTTGCTCAGCTGTTTGCTGAAGGTTTACTTCAGAAGTTTCATTGAATCTCATTATTAGTCTTGCACAGCTGCTTGGAGAAAACCACAGCAAACAGCGAGAGCACCTCAGCTTGTGTGTCCCTAGCTAATGGCAAACTTATCTTCTCAGGAGAGTTAGGAACCTAAATGCAAAGTATCCAGGATCTACTGGACTTGCCCTTTTTGCAGGTGGCCATGCCTTGCCACTGCCTCCATTCCTCCCTTAGCATATGACTCTGGAATGATGAGAGGGAAAGCAGCCCAGATGTGTAGGAAGGAGGAAGGGGGGAGGCAGAATGAATTTAAATGTTTTCTCATGCAGCTACGTAGGGCTTTGGTCTGTGGGCTCAGAGACACAGACAAATAACTTCCTGGTGACTTAGTGATATCATGGTAAACTCTAGGAAGGCTGAAGCTACTCGGAGTAATCAGAAAATTTGTATTACAGTCTTCCTCCTACTTGACACTATGGAAAGGAGTATGGTGCAGATGGCAAATGTAAGCACTCAGTAAAGCACAATAGGAGTACGTACTGCTTTGTAAATGGTACCTAGGGGCATGTGTAGATGAAACGGAGGCCCTAAATTGAAGTGGTGGGTTTTAAAAACCACCGCTTCAATTTAGGGCTGATTAAACCCCCATGTCATGCACACACCTTAGCTGCTTCTCCGGCGGGGAGGGGAGGGTGAGCTACTGGTGGGCGGAGTGGTCCCTGGGCTGCAGGGGTGG